TCGCCAGTTGTGTGGATTAGACAGTTATCTGGCGCAAGCCTTGATCTGTCTCGTTCAGGTCTTGTGTTGGAGTGTTTGAGTCTGCCTTGTTCGTTCTGCCGTTGTGTCACGCAGGTACTGTTCTCTATCTGACTTTTTTGCACATTGTCCGTATGTACCCTGTCAATAGGGTACCCTGTCAAAAGGCCTTAGGCCTGTGGGGATTGCCCTACCAAAACTTTAATAATAATAATAATAATAATAATAATAATACTGACTGGTTTTGAGGGAAAGAGACAAACGGGAAAAGTCTGAAGAAAAAATTGACTGTCACCACCAGGACTCGAACCAGGGACCCTCGCTTGTAGCCAGCGATGCTCTAACCGCTGAGCTATGGTGTAGTCGTCATCCAAGCAGAGACCGTTCAACGTTTTCTTCAGACTTCGTAACTCACACTTCCTGTGAATCCACACAGGCGGGTGGGACGCAGCCCTCACTGTAACCCACACACTTCACGTACAAACTAGCACGCGGGGAGCCCCAAGTCATAAAATATTGACTGGTTTTGATATAATAATAATAATAATAAGGGCCCAATGCGTTCCACTTGTTGTGTAGGGAACTATAAGTTACGCTATCATGTCGACTAACACCTTTGCAGAACGTCAGTCCTGTCGGTCAGTGTCGTGCAATGTTATCACTTGAGCTGATTGTTTAGCAACTGGTGGTGTTAGTGGATATTATAGTGTAACTGGTAGTTCCCGGGTCCATTTTCTTTTCGATAAATGTATATATTAAAGTGTGTGTTTTAGTTATTACATTTTTATGTGACGGCGTTCCACTGATGAAAGTCACGAGAAAACGTTATGTGACTTAGCTTTCTTCATTTTGTACTGCTGTTATAAGTGCCAATTGATCATAATATTAATCGACGAGGAGACAATAGTCGTAAAATGGCAATAACATTAATATTATTAATGTTATTGCCATTTTACGACTACTATTGTCTCCTCGTCGATTACATCAATACACTGTAGTTTCAAATTAAATTAAATTGTTCAGTAGCTTGAGGGAAAGGTGAATTAAGATACCAGTGGCCAGCGAAGAGACAAGGTTGATAACAAAGCAGCATGTTAGCCAGCATGCAGAGGATTGATCGAGAACACAGGCAATGCAGTTGGGTACATCCTACATCTTGGGGAAAACTGACGGACGTCAGGGAGTGGAACAGGAGAAGCGAATCTGCACAAGAGGATACTTATCTGGCACTGCTGTGACTGGAATGCTGGGAATAGTACTCTAGGTACTCTCTTGGTCGATACTGTCGACAGAAACGTAGGCAGAACCTGGTACTTATTCCCGTGTCTTTCATGCATGTTTGCTACATGGATTAGAATATGGAACAGAATTCCATAAATTCCATGTACGGTTTTGCCAATTTCACTGCTTTCCCAGGCAAATCTGCCAATAGAGAGGTTCCGCATAACGTAATTACGTTAGTAAAAAACGTAGTCGATCTACGGAAAGCGGGATTCACAGAAGCTTTTTTGCGATGCGACACGCGATGCGACGCGATCTGCGACGGACGCGTGCGATGCGAACTCGCGAAATACCATTCACAGAAGAAGTCAACGATGCGACAAAGTTTTGCTGATTTGGGTACGTCACCATGATATTCGCGCGGTTTGACACAACTTGAAAAAATTTATAGGCAACTCTTGCACCTTTGTACAACTTTGCTGTAGAAAAGGTCAAAATCGTACACCAAATCGCTTGTCGCATCGCATCGCATCGCAAAAGTTGAGCCAAGCTCAACTTCTGCGATGGCCTGCGATGGCCCAGTTGCGGCAGTTGCGTGGGGTGCGACATGGCTGCGATTTGGGGTTTTCCCGGTGTCGCATCGCAAAAAAGCTTCTGTGAATCCCGCTACGGAAACTGCATGCGGATCTGGGTTCCGCCATAGGGTTTTTTTTTTTTTGGATGTCGACACTGCATTTATTCGCACAGCAGAAAAGCAACCAACAGAAAATCACGGAATCATAGCAAACAAAACAAGATCATCGGATAATAAAAGTGTGGCTATAGTGTGGCTGTAGACACGGCTACTCCGCAAGAGTCTTTAGTCACGCAACTGACAGTCGTTGACTGGCAGCACAACAGGACTGGAATAGGCCTTGGCGGATAATGCCGGCAGAAAAATGGGCAGAATTCGGTACTTTTTCTGGTAAGTTTCATGCATGTTTGGTATGTGGATAAATAAATGGAGCAGAAATCGAGGAATTGCCCGCCATAAGGTTTGTATGGCTCTGCCAATTTCGGTGCAAAAAAAGCAGAATCTGCCACCTTTTCGAGCATTATCCGCCAAGGCCTAGTAATAGACTGGAAGCATCCAAACGACTGCGGTAGGGAGAAGCACGATGACCACGGAACCGTAGCTGCCCTTGGCAACTCCGAACGCGGCAATGTACGACCAGATCGACCTGGGGAGAGAGTCATAAATTTGTACCCCAATCCACTTACGGACCAGCTACGTTATCAGAGCCCTACTTTTTTTTTAGACTAATCACCATCACCAAGAGTTTATGTACTCTTGCCATCACCAAGAGTACATAACCCCCATGTACTCTTATGTACTCTTGCCATCACTGATACAACGAAATTTGAAAGAAAAAGAAAAAAGGCCAGACCCTGCCCGGCCAGCTATTTGGACTTACGGGGGTCGCCATGGCAAATACTAAGTAGTAAAAATGAGCTAGTATGGCTGTGAAAACAGTCTATATGACAATATTCAGTCAGCCATAATGGATGCCTCCGCAGCTACCACAGCTGCAGATGACGCGACAGGAGCATGGGCAGAAAAAATGGATCGGCTACCACGCACACACATTACACTGGCCCGTATTAGCACTACGCTAAGACGACACCAGATGAACGCCATGGTGAGGGAGTAGGACTCACCCGGTCTTCTCTGCAAGCAACACAGCAATTCTCTTATACAGAGCTGACGCACACTTGCTCATGCCGCCAGTCGTAGAGAACACGGCCGGGACAAACGAGGCATGCTCTACATCACGCAAGCGCTGTTCGTACGAACGCTTCTTTGCCTTCTCATGGCGGGTGTAGGCTGCGGAGACGGAGGAGGAGCAATTTGAGGGCGCAAATGGGTTGAAAACCCTGACATCAATATAATTATGTGCGTTCTAATCGTCCTCCCCATATCCCGTTAGCGGCCACGTCCAATCTGGCAGCATCGGCACGAATGGCAGTGCGAAGAGACAGCTGCTCACCTGACAGAGGCTCGAGGTGTGGCTCACCGGAGACATTGGTAGCTACTCTCTTCAGAAGGCCAGCTGTCACATCTCGAATTTCATTGTGGCGAATACTGGGGTACCCACCCGTTGGACAGCTCAAGGCATGGGCGATAGTGAACTGGCTCCCACAAGAGCACGCAGACGGCATGTGCGGTAGTCTCCAGTTGTAGCGGCCTAGCGGAGATGTAAACCATCCCGAAACTCCGCCTTCGCCGTAGCTAAGCCATGGCGTTTCAGGGGTCGGCACGTCAACCACCCTGAGGCTCCCTTTTCCGCTGCAAGCTCAACTGTGCGCTGTTGGTCTGCACTCAGTGAAGAGCATACAGTTGCAGCGTGGGTTCGGAGAGCGTTGCGAGCTGACGTCTGAACTGCCTTGTCCATCACCAGATACACAGATAGCATCGCCAAGCGGCATCACTTGCTGGAGCCCTGCTAGTATCTACATGTACGTACTCTCCGTAGACAACTTTCCGTAAGTGGAGTGCAAACTCGCGAATTCACGAGTTTTTCCCGCCCACTAACGTAAAGTTGCTCAACTTTACGTAGTGCGACACGCGATGCGACGCGATCTGCGACGGACGCGTGCGATGCGAACTCGCGAAATACCAGAATACCATTCACAGAAGAAGTCAGTAATGCGACAACATCTTGCTGATTTGGCTACGTCACCATGATATTCGCGCGGTTTGATACAACCAGGGAGTAGTACATTATTATTGTACTACTCCCTGGATACAACCAAGAGTACATAACCCCCCCCCCCCCCCCCCCCCAGAGTGTGCAACGCCTGATCCAGCTCTGCATAGGGTCTTGGTCGAGCGGAATCGGATCTTTGCGTCATAATACCGTACACATCTGAGGGGAACCCGGGGAGTCGCGGGTACTCTTGGATCAAAAACAATGGTGCCCTGCCTCGAGACCGGCCTTGCGCTGGTGTGAAGTGTACGCATGACATCAGAAGATCCGATTCCGCTCGACCAAGACCCTACACAGAGCTGGATCGGCGTTGCACACTCTGGGGGGTTATGTACTCTTGATACAACGTGTACAAATTTATAGGCAACTCTTGAACCTTTAAAAAGCTTTGTACAACTTAGCTGCAGAAAAGGTCAAAATCGTACGCCAAATCGCTTGTCGCATCGCATCGAATCGCAAAAGTTGAGCCAAGCTCAACTTCTGCGATCGATGGCCTGCGATGGCCCAGTTGCGGCAGTTGCGTGGGGTGCGACATGGCTGCGATTTGGGGTTTTCCCGGTTTCGCGCCTGTCGCATCGCAAGGTGGCTGGGGCGGTACAACTTTTTTGGGAAAATTTTGAATGCATTTTTGAGTTTATCGGCAAGGCAGAGATGAAAATTGAAAATGTTTTCTGGTGAATCTCTGGCGAATAGCCTTGTCTGGCTTCCATAGTTTTATTTTTACTTTTGGACAAAATTTGAAAACGTTTTATGAAAGGTTCGTGCTATTTTTTCACGGACCTTTCATAAAACTTTTTCAAATTTTGTCCAAAAGTAAAAATAAAACTATAGGAGGCTAGAGACGGCTCTTCTCCAGAGATTCACCAGAAAACATTTTAAAATGTCATCTCTAAGATCCACCTTGCCGATAACCTCAAAAATGCAGTCAAAATGTGATCAAAATGACCCCTAAAAAGTTGTACCGCCCCTTACGGGTCTCTCTACATAGCGACTGTACTAGCATTTTTATTATTATCATTAAATTTTTGATTTTATTACTATGTCTCCTTTATTCACTTCTTTCGAAGGCGATAAGCCAGACCCACCGGGAAATATTTCCATGGGTGAGACAGCAAAAAGAAAGTGAAAAAAATAAAAAATAAAAAAGCCAAAAACCAAAGGGACAAGAAAAAGGGGAAGGAAGAGGAAGAAAGGAAAGAAACTCAATCCAAACTCCAACATCAAACAATAATATAGAATTTGCAACGCCAGTTATGTACAAAGACAGGTATTGTACAAATGATAAGGACGTTGATGTTGTTATGGGGATTACAAAGGAATATTATTATTATTATTACTTTTGAAGTATTATTATTATGCAACTCATACTTCCAAAAAAGCGCATAGCCTAGGCTATCAGATACAAGAGAAAGATTAGAGCAGACGGGATGAGGCAATGACTTGCATGCGGGTGCAGCATCTGGGCTGCAGAGTGTTCCGACAGCATGGTCCCTGGAAACTGACCCGTGCTGTTGTCCGCTGCCTGAGGCTCCGCTGCGGCGGGTGTGCTGGGTGTGGCTGCTGGCGATGGATATTGGGATGTGATACTGGTGGCTGACATCTCACTGGTGGGCATCTGAGTGGTGGGCATCTCGGTGGTGGGCATCTCGGTGGTGGGCATCTCGGTGGTGGGCATCTCGGTGGTGGGCACCTCAGTGGTGGGCATCTCGGTGGTGGGCATCTCGGTGGTGGGCATCTCGGTGGTGGGCACCTCAGTGGTGGGCATCTCAGTGGTGGGCATCTCCGTGGTGGGCATCTCGGTGGTGGGCATCTCGGTGGTGGGCATCTCGGTGGTGGGCATCTCAGTGGTGGGCATCTCGGTGGTGGGCATCTCGGTGGTGGGCATCTCGGTGGTGGGCACCTCCGTGGTGGGCACCTCCGTGGTGGGCACCTCGGTGGTGGGCATCTCAGTAGTGGGCATCTCAGTGGTGGGCACCTCAGTGGTGGGCATCTCGGTGGTGGGCATCTCAGTGGTGGGCATCTCGGTGGTGGGCATCTCGGTGGTGGGCATCTCGGTGGTGGGCATCTCGGTGGTGGGCACCTCCGTGGTGGGCACCTCAGTGGTGGGCATCTCAGTGGTGGGCATCTCAGTGGTGGGCACCTCAGTGGTGGGCATCTCAGTGGTAGACTGTGCACATGCCTTGTATGGCTTCGTATTACGAAAGTTGCCACCCGGTCCGTAGTTACACACCACAATGTAACCTTTGGGGTATCTACTCGTACTCCATGGGAAGTTTATGGTGGTTGCCCCGTCGCACAGTTTCGCCCCGCAGCCCAGCTGCTGACTGGAGTTCCACACAATCTGGGTGTAATGGCCGCAGACCTTGCCAGGTGCGCACGCCGGAGTGGCGTAGTCGTAGTCTTGTTTCTCTCTATCCCATGGCGTCACACTGACGGCTGGGTTAGAGGGCGTGTTCGTACTGATGTATAGGTTTTCACCCACATACCCGAAAGCTCCGTTGGCGTCCTCTGTTCTTAGTTTATTGTGGTCGTAAATACACCTGTCAGCGTACGCCTGTGCCACGTTGGCCAGTACAGTGTTCCACGTCATGGCTGGTAGCGGCGTACAGGGCGTAGGTGAGGCGATAGACCTGGCGTTGTTGTGCGCGTTCAGCATGGCGTCTTTCTGCGACTGCGTAAACACGGACTGCGCGCAATGCGGTAGAACGGCGCACATCGCCAGCCACACAAGCAAGGTACTGAGGCGCATCTTGAATGAGATCGAGCACACCGGGAATCTGTATTCAGCTAGAGTTGTACCTCACTGACGGCTTCACTTCGCCGGTTGTAGATCCACAAACAAAAGGCGGGTCTTTAGATGCTGCGGGTCCAGCCCTCACCAGGTTCCTCAACTCAATGATCTCTTTGCTGTTGGAGCGTTACACACACGTCAAGCGTCGCGATAGAACACCACAACGCGTACAGTTTGCTGGCTGGATGTCATTCGAATCTGCTCTGCCACAACGAGGCGAGTAGTGAAGAGCATTAGAGGCTTGCGCGGATCAGCAAGCCCACACCTTCCTCAACTGCCTGAACTCCCTGAACTGAATTCTGAAATACTACTACCGTAAAATCCCGCCAGAGCGCCCCTACCTCCTCGACGCTTCAGGTGGGACGGGGCGGATGGGCGAGTCCTACTTGCCGCATTCAGTGCTACATGAAAAAGTACTCACCCTACGAAGACTGTTCGTGCATCTCGTACACCGACCAAAGGTCAAGAGCCAGGAGTCGTACAGACCCGACAAAACGCGGGGTTTGTGCGATCACTGACAAGAGGGTGGGTACAGTTGCGTACATTTCCAACGGGGTTGAGCACGCGTCTGCAGTACAGTACGGCATCACAGACTGCGCATGCAACAGACCAAGAGGGTTGGCACTGTTGCACATGTTGCGTACATTTCCAACGGGGTTGAGCACGCGTCTGCAGTACAGTACGGCATCACAGACTGCGCATGCGGAGGTATATTATGCTCGGCAGGCCGCGAAAGAGGGGGCCTTACCTGGAGACTTAATCGCGCGGGTAGAGCGAAACTGAGCACCCTGGGATGCGAGCAGCTTTTTAGTACTCCCGGGTCCCAAATCTCACCACCAGGCCGGGCTGATCAAAACGTCTGCCGGGTCTGCAGCCTACAAAGGTGGATCTGCCGACACTGTGCTGTCGACGACATGTCCGGTGTAAACGCGAAAACGGTTCCAGGCATACACCGGTTCCACCCTAGCCGCGAAAACAGTTCCTCCGCGAAAACGGTTCTTCCACACATTTCCTGCATCTATGAGGTATTATGTATCAGATTGCAACGACCAGGAGGCTCTTAGGGGTCGTCCGCAATTATCGAAAGTTTTTTCCAATCCGTAGTAGCTTCAAATTTTTCCTCACCCACCCACCCACCCCCCCAGTCCGTAATAAAATATTATTGATGGACACACAACGCAACACATATGGAACAAACTCAATCAGTGCTGGTCCATCCTTGTTCGTCGTCTTGGACAACTGCCACAAGCAATTTATTGTTCTGTAATAATCAGAGTCACCAGCGGTTTCGAAAAAGGGCTGCTTCTTCACCGCCTTTCCAAACAACGTCGCCTGTCTGGACATAGTCAATAACAGTCGTCAGCGCCAGCGCTAGACGGAAGGACTTCAAAGGAGTGCATGGAAGACGGTACTCTGGACGAAGGAGACAGTGAAACTCAAAAATAGAAGGTGTCGACTCGCCGTCGAATGCGCCGAACTTTATGATCCCCGGCCCAGGAGGAGCAGCCAAGGAAGCGCGCGCGGGGGCGCAGAAACTGCCAGAACTACAAAAATATTATAAGTAGTAGACAGTTCGCGCGCAGCCGCGCGTGGAAAACAGGGGCTACACGTAGACGTACACGTGGCACGCGCACGTGTCATTTCGGAAGTTTTTCAATCCGTAACTGGCCTTGACCCACCCACCCACTTTCGAAGCTACTACGGATTGGAAAAAACTTTCGATAATTGCGGACGACCCCTTAGTACTAGTAGCAAGAGTCCATAACCCAAGAGTATGCAACTGTGATGATGGGTGCATGCGTGGCGCGCTGCCTTCATTACGTATCTTGCCTTCATCACGCTCTGAAAGCATGTATTCAAACTCTCAATTTCTCGCACGAGCCCATCCGTTTTTGCTCGATTCGTTCCAGTACCTACACAATCTCTGAATTCTGGTGCGTGAACTCCAGTTCCGTACGAAAGTTCATTTCAAACTAGAGGGAAAGTGCGGTGTTTGATTTTCCGCAGTGCGCGGACTGCAGCTGAATGATGTAATGAAGGCAGCGCGCCGCGCGGTTGGCCCATAGAAAAGAGATCACAGTTGCATACTCTTGGGTTATGGACTCTTGCTAGTAGTGGCTGCAAATGACCGATATCCGTCACTTGCAGCTCTGCATCAGAGACCTGTAGCTGGCCTGAAGAGTTGTAAAATTACTCCTTCGTAGCCGGGCGAGTCAGAGCGAGGGCGATTCACGGCTTGGTCAAAAAACTGTCGGCCTGGAACGTAAACGTCGATCTGCCGACACAGTTCACCTGGTTCACACGCCTGACCTGGCATGCTGCCTTGCGTGAAAGGAACATTTTTCCGAAAGCAAGCTTCTTCTCCAAAATTCGAAAATTCCTTCCAAAAATGCCGTCGTCCTTGACCTCGAAGCTGAATGTTGTTAGGATAGAAAATTAGCGAAGATGTAGCCGACCCATTCTGTCAAGCCGTGTGCCCTCTGGATATGCAGTTGTTCGCCATGGTCAACAATCTTCTTCTCCTTCGTTCGTACTTTCACCGTTTCCTGACCACGAATACAAGCGGTACCCATGCTCAGGTTAGTGTTTATTTGTCTGTCTATGCACATACATGTATTACAATGTACTGTTCGTGCTGTAGGCACTGGCCGATCATGGAAATAGAGGAAGCAGCCAGCTTTCTTTGAATTCTCATCCTTTCAACAAAAATATGTACACACTTTCCTTGGCTGCTTTTTCCCACCGCCACCATGCATGCACTGCTTTTCAAATTCGTGTTTGCTTTGGCAGTGGTTTCATGGGTATCCTTCAGCCTTCCCTGGCATTCAAAATTCAGAATAGTTTCCTACAAGGTGCGAGTACCTCTGTTCTGCTTAGCACATTGTAGTAAAATTATTTGCAACTGTCCACCACTGCACTCGTGGCTCACATTCACCACACCATAGCGACGAAGTTTGTTCTTGGATAGATGTCTGGAGGATGTAGAGCATCTATCCAAGAACGAACTTCCTCGCTATGGTGTGGTAAATGTGGGCCAAGAGCGCAGTGAGGAGAGGTGAACAGTTTCAAATTATTTAGCCACATCCGATCCTTTCTCCGATAATTATGGACATGTTTTACTATACCGGTATATTGAATGGCCACTCATGCTTCTATTGAGAGGTAACACCACTCAGGAAACTGAGGAAAGCCAACCGGTGTTGCACAGGATTTGAGGTTGGGAAGAAAAGATGTTCTGATAAAAGAACTGCGAGTACATGGGAAACGTATTATGGAAAGGGCAGTCTGAGTCAAACTAGGATCTCCTGTTCCAGACTGTACCGAAAGCGTGAATATGAATACCGTAAAGTCGCGGATAAAAGCCGGGTTTGCATACAAGCACATCGCAGATAGAAGCCTGAAAATCAAACGGGTTAAATGCATATAAGCCTGTCGCGCGTAGAAGCCTTTCTTCTTTGCAAGCGCGGATCGGGTGGGTCAAGAGTGCATGCGCTATGTACGGTGCATAGTAAAACTGCCGCCATACTGGTAGTCAGTGGTAGATCTACGCTTGTCGCGCGTAGAAGCCTGGAATACAAGTCTGGCAAAAATATCAGTGGTGCATATAAGCATGGTTTGCATACAAGCCTGGTTTGCATTAAAGCCTGATGCAGAAAGCGGCTCATGTGCTTATAAGCCCGGCTTTTATCCGCGACTTTATGGTACAGGAGAATGCCAATAATCCGAACAATCACTTATTCGAAATGCCAGTTTCCATTGAATTGAAGGGACGAAAATGAGCTTCTGCTCATTTTCCCCAACCCCAAGCACCATTCAAGCGGTGCATAAGATAGTTTGCAACAAGTTGGAGCAACAATGTATCACCGTGGAGTCATATTGAGGAGCTAGAGTGTGTCTAGTTCCTGTGAATGTGAGAAATGATGGAAACGTGAAGGAATGTGCAAGTCTTAGATGGATGTGTGACTGCTCCCTTATCAGAATTTTTCCCCATCCGAACCCCCTGGAGAAAGCGTGCGCCCGAGGGGTGCGGATAATCTACACTCTGCTGTAACAGTTATGTAAAATGAGTGCCGATGCACATTGGACAACGTTGCAAATGTAGAATTGTAGGTGGACGGTGGTTCACATTAGACGATCGGAGTACCCCCACCAAACGAAGAGAGCTCAACATCACAAGGTAGAGCTTGCATGTACAATCGAAAAAGAGTACATATACCATTAGCTGATGCTGTTGGTGTGCGTTACGAAGTCTGAAGAAAATGTTGAACGATCTCGGCTGGGATGACGGCTACACCTTAGCTCAGTGATTAGAGCATCGCTGGCCTCAAGCGAAGGTCCCTGGTTCGAATCCTGGTGATGACAGTCAATTTTTTCTTCAGACCTTTCCCGTTTGTGCCTTTCCCTCTAACCAGTGAATATTACTGTTAGCTTCGTACTTTGAGTGATTATCACTTACAGTTACATATACTTGATAATTTCTTAGCGCATGAAAATCGGAGTCAGTACCACAATATTCCTCCCTCACTATAATGAGTCTAGATACTTTGAATGTGGAACAGGGTCCAGGACAGGATCGTCTGCTCTATCCAAATTATGGCCTGGTTGCAATTTGTCTATTTACCAGCAGGTACATCGCGCCAGGGAGTCATAGCACCTACACTGTAGGGAGACAACACAATACTTTATAGAATTTTGGGTCAGGATTTGGAGGTTCTCCGTGATCTGTGCAATCACGGCCTTGACCTACTGACCCTGAGAACGGCCCAGATTAGCAATACCATGTACGAGCGTGTATAGATCTGCCCAATGGTGCCCCAGGGGTGGCTGAAACAGGAACCCCTGGGTCGAACCCCATGTCATTTAGCTTTACAGTCGCCTGTGCCGTCTACCTAGATGCTACAACTCCCTGCGTTGCACCCAGTAAATGCACCACATCAAGTATACAGCCATGTAGTGTTGGTTGTCACCTGTTCTGATCGTGTGATATCACAAACAATCTTCTACGATCCATTCATTCGAACCTGGCACGTTAGGGGCCGTCCATAATTATCTATCTTTAACACGAAACGAGAAAAAAATCGTTCATGGGCGGGTGGGTCAAGAAGGGTTTCGTAATGAAAAATATTGATAGCTGAAACACTAGTCCATTCCAGCTATTTTTCGTTGAGGGGTGAGTAGGTGGGGGTGGGGGACGGTCACAAGTTACTCATCACTAAACTTTTCATTTCTTGAAAATTATCGATAATGCCGGGTCCATAATTGTCGATCTTTTACACGAAGAGAAAAAGTTTCGTTGGTGGGTGGGTCAAGGGGAGTTTCATTTCAAAAAATATTGATATTGCAGACATCAATCGGGGGGGGGGGGGGGTGGGTGGGGGGGGGGGGGGGTGGTGGGTGGGTGGAGGAGGGTCCTTCTTTCATTTCGTGAAAATTATCGATAATGCTGGATAGCTCCTTTAGTCTATGCAATAAAATAGTTGTTTTCTTCACACAGACCGTAAAGTTTAAACAATATCCGGCCAGGTTTGTACCGAACATTTTTTCGAAAGGTAATTTCTCAAATGTTGCCTTGAGTACGTTCTCAGCAACATAGCGGGCCAGTTTCAAATAATTGGACTGCAAACTTGCATCGCTGGTTGTTGCAGCTCCATCACAGGTCGTATCACGGGAAATTGAGTTCAGCTCCACTTCAAGGTTGGGTGACACGTGATGGGCATCACTTCCTGCATGCTGGTGCATGGGACTCAAGAGCTCTGGCTGGCAAGCAGTTTTAGACTGCAGGTGCAATACAATATTTTTCTGCGATGTGCTATGCATTGTGCATTGCATTTCTCGAGAGACACTTCACGCTATGTGAAAAAAAAGAATTTCGCTCAATGTGGTATTGTGCATCGTGCAGTGCAACTTTCCCACAAAACTGGACTCAAAGCACCTTATAGCTGTGGTTCACAGCAAAGATTTTCCTATTTGCGACTCTTGGTTTAATGGGTGCAGTAGCATGCATGTGCCTGGTGATATTGTTGCAATGGATCATAGTGAGGGCGTAGCAGTACTTGTGCACTGATAGTTGGTCATGGCATGAGTACATAACCAAGAGTGGGCAACTCGATGATCCCTCTGCCCACGGCAGAAAGTTTCATCACTTTGGCTTTTGCAGGCCATTGGGCTCACTAATACCATCATGCGTAGCCAGAGATCAAAACTTGTACATCACAGCTACGGTAGTTGAAGCAGAACAATGAACTGTGGATCCATGCCTACTGAACCTGATGAAACACTCTATCTACATGGCACATGTAGAAATATATGCGCGCTTGCTCATAATCATTGGATTTCGAAGCCGATCGTACCTTATGTTAGTAGTTGCACATTCTTAGCAGTTATGTAGTTTGATAATAACATTACGATAGATTATCAATACTGGTGGAAACGTTATGCTGGTTGCATATTTTGTACCCGGTGTGCCATGACCAGGCATGCTAATTCATCGGATATTATCAAGTTTGCCTGCCTGCTGGGTGTTGTATCTTAGCTTCACTGTACTACAAATACGATAGGCATAGTTTTCCTAAATTGTTTCTTTATAACATTCAGTTTGTTTTGCTGCAATCTTTTCACGTGTTTTGCAGGATTGTAGCCAAGGGTGAATACCATTGTGATGTGCGAAGGTCTCTGAGAACTCATGTCTGAAGGCTGGTCATGTTGGCCCAACGATGACTTTCATTGCCTGTTTCCGCCACCTTCATACTGGAATGAACTGGAACATGTTCCCTCTCTGTTTCTCATGCGGAAGGACGGAACAGATTGTTTGTCTGTCTCTGTGGATCACCAAAGGCTGAACAGTACAGTTGGAAGAATATTGGATCTCACGAAGTGACTGAATCTGAAGCGGCTGACATGCATCTGCACAGCGCTTTCATTCTGAGATTTGCTTCAAGGCAGGTTATTGTGTACGATTTTGTCCACAGTATTCCTATATTTGCCAAACGTATTTCTCTGATAGTATTGTGACTACACACGCACAATGATCTCTCCGTCATCAGTCTTTCGAAATGATGTGGCTCGCTGATGACAGCATGCATAGCCATAGATCAAATGAGCAGCTAAGGTAGTTGAAGCAGAAGAATGGATCAATGCATCCTGAACCTGGTGTACTGCCTATATGCACTCTCAGTAGTATTTGTAACGTGTTAACTATGAAGTATCAACATTGCTTCTCTTCTATGTGGGTGGTGTGAGTGATGTCAGATGGTCTGTACTGCCATGGCCGATGGTGTTCACGGGAAGATGTTGGGTTGGGCCATTGTGCCCTCTTGCAATATGCTGTTGCAGCCTGAAGGCAATGAAAAAGTTCGAATGCTGATCTGCTTTCAAGCGTAGAATGTTACATTATGTGCATTACATATTTGCATAATTATGTTTTGTACTGGAGTGTGAATGTGCGGCAAGGGCATGCACATGTAAGTATATCGCACTGCAAACAGCCTAAGAGTTCACGTGGTATGTGATAAGTACACTTTTGGAAAGTGCGTGCACAGTCGAATCATGTAATGTTAAAACAGCCTTCGTGCTCCTCCCTGAATGGCTGCACAAATAGAAATCTCCGTCTTCCTTTGCTTCTTTTTGCTTGAGCTGGCATGGTGGTCGTAGAGTTGGAAATTGTTAAAGGGGAAGTATACCCAAAAATCAAATTTTCACCAGTTGTAGTCTTCGGGGTGCTGAGTCCAATGGTCTTGGTCCGAGGAAGCTGAGGCGCTCCCTTCCTACTTGAATCCCAATCGAACTCGCGCACTTCCACCGAAACTGGGTGACTGCGCCCTACGAGATGGGGATTTGTATGCAAAATGTCACTAAAAGCGCCATTTCGTTCTTATAAAAGCACGGATGACCGCGATTGGCCCATATGTTGTAGTCTTTTGGACGCTGAGTCGACTGGTTTTGGTCCGAAAAGGCTGCGATGCAGCGTTCCTCCTTTATTCCCAATCGAACATGGTTGAACAGGCGGTCACGTGCTCCTGCGTACACCAGTCACCTGGCCACCGTGCCTGCAGGGTACAACTTACTAGCCTGTTTGACCTTGTTTTGGGTGCAGTCCTGTCACTCGAGTTGAACTCGAGTTGAACCTTGGTGTGAAAGTTGTCGCCTGCTGGCGCGGTGACCAGGTGATTTGGGCACCCAGGAGCACGTGACCACTTGTTCAACCATGTTCGATTGGGAATAAAGGAGGAACGCTGCATCGCAGCCTTTTCGGACCAAAACCAGTGGACTCAGCGTCCAAAAGACTACAACATATGGGCCAATCGCGGTCATCCGTGCTTTTATAAGAACGAAATGGCGCTTTTAGTGACATTTTGCATACAAATCCCCATCTAGTAGGGCGCAGTCACCCAGTTTCGGTGGAAGTGCGCGAGTTCGATTGGGATTCAAGTAGGAAGGGAGCGTCGCAGCTTCCTCGGACCAAGACCATTCGACTCAGCACCCAGAAGACTACAACTGGTGAAAATTTGATTTTAGGGTATACTTCCCCTTTAAGTATGATAACAATCGTTGTTTGGTCTGGAGACAAGAATGCATTTGGATATTTGTCCCAGGACTGCATGGCTTCCCAAACTGCATGTTGAATGCCATAGATGATTATTGTTCGGTTCAAGAAAGGACTCGTGGGTCTGTCTGGCTATTGTGAGCTCTCGCTAGTCCATTTTCATAGCACTTGCTCTGGATTCACTCGCTGGAATATTCTCCAGTATAGAACAAGAAGTTTAGAAAACCTACTGGTGATATTAGTATGTTATACTAGTTTCTCCGCACTGTACCGCAGCTTTTGTTATCACACACATGCGGGTTATATACAGTAGTTTATCTACAATCCAGCATGATGTTCTTCCAAGAACGCCCCCGACCTAGGCCCTCGGAACGACGTTCTTGGGTGTGCAACATCACTTATAGTTCTAAATCTTAGAATTAAGCGCAGGATTTTAGTGATCACGGTTCCAAATGCATGTCATTGCACTCCGCCTTTGGGACTTATTAGACATGTCATTGCACTCCACCTTTGGGATTAATTAAGAGCTGCATGCATGCCAAAGCTTGTCATAAAAGAAGAGCAGACTTAAATAGGCATCTTGTACGCATGATTTCTAACATGTAACATCCCTGCCGAAGAGTGTTCTTCCATACTACAGTAGAGTCGAGCGTCCAAGAACGTTGTGTCCAAGAGGTTAGCCTTGGGTGTTCGTATTTTTCAGCCATCCGGCTGCGCTCTTGTAGCATGTTCTTAGAAACAATCATGTTAGGATCATAATTATGTATCCCGAAAGCTGCCGGAAAACCAACACCGCCATTCTTTTAAACTTAAGGCGGTGGCGTTCTTAGCATTTCAGGCTGGACATTCTTGGGCAACACGTTCTTCGGCGCCCGACTCTACTGTAGTACTGTACATGAAATACAGCTACTACAACTGTAGCAATATAGAATGCTGATTATCCGAATGATTGATTGTCCGAACTGCTCAGGCTGCATGGCAGCAGGCTGTCATCAACATGCATCCCATGATAATTTCGAGGAGCTGGAGTGTGTGCCAAAAAGAATGAGAAATGAAAGTATGCATGAGGAAATGAGTATGTTTTAGATGAGTGTTTTCCCACGCCCTTATCCGAACATACATGCACTCGATCGCCATAACCCCTGGCACACAGCACACAGCTTCAGAACCTGAGAGAGTATGATATGGGTATGTCACAAGTACTCCCAGGTCCCGAAGCTTTCGTCTCAACAAAGGATCATGATCGACGACTTGTAATGAACTACATTTTGGTGGTATTATACCGTACTTGTTTACATTCAATTTAGGAATGAGTTTAAAGCATGAGAACTATCCACAGCAGACATTCTCACTGTTCGGAGTTGCCAAAAACGTGGTGCATGTATAAATCAGGGATGGGTACAATACCAACATCTGAGGTGAGTCTATCAGGAAAGTGAATGTCGTCCACTCTATAAAATGGGGTCCCTCAAGAAAGATGCGATTTTGCAGCCATGGACGTTTCCAGCCAGGTGACTGTATATACAGTGATCTAAGTTATGCAAAGCTTGACATGAATGATTGGCTGGACACGTCAAAGAGAAGGAAGAGAGAAGCAGACCAACCTTACACCAGCTGAGTGTAGTGGCCCAAAACAACAAACTAATTCTGTGTGGCCTTAGAGGAGCTGGGCAAGATGTGTACAGTGAATTAAACAATACAGTAAACGTGGGAGAAGAAGTGACAAGACTGAGTATGATACACTGTGCCAGCACAGTGCACATACTAGTGCAACTGTTGGTGTAGTTGCAGTTGGCCCACACAAGCAGGTCACTCGATTGTAGATACACAGAGCGCATTCTACATCATACAAAACATGTTGAGCTAGGCAGCAGTGGCTGGCATTTACCGACATACACCAATGCCAATGCGCGGCTTGAGCAAATATTACAAGCCTCGGAACACCCATACGCCATTTTAGAGACAGAACAAGGCGACGAGTAAGCACCAAAGGATTATATGAATAGCGGCCAGGCAATAATTCAGGCCACTGCTGCTAATCAAGGACTAGTTACTAGTACTAGTATGTTGTCAGTGTACCCTGAAACGATGCAATCACAGCGAACGTGATACATGCACATCATGTTGCCTGGTTCTTGGTTAAAAGTTGTATCCTCAATGCTTGAGGTTTGTGGGGTCCCTCCAGCTTCTCAGAGTCCTGCACAAAAAAAGATAAAAGCAAGTGCAGGTAGAATAATAGTAAGCTCACATAAAACCTCTTCGTCTTGCTAACAAATTTCGTGATTAAATCCACAGCATGGGAACGAGGCTACAGGAAAAAAAAAGTTCAACCATAATAATGCAAAAAGGCAACTTTAGCTAATCATATTTTTGGCAGCAACACTATACTGTTTGTATAGGAGAGTTGGCTTGGTGCATTCATGGCAAATGCACTCCCTATAGTATTGTATTACTGTACTTCATCATTTTACTTGGGCATTCATTCCCAGTAGCCCTAATGTCTTCTAACAGAGTGCGCAAGGTACTGCATATTCGGCGCATATTTTATTTTCGGCTATTAACGGCCTGTGCATTTTTAATTCGGAAAGTGGTGGACATCACGCAACTGAATTGTAAATAAAAGGGGGTTTGTCAACTGACAACCGCATACTTTTTCGACATCACTAATAAAATAATTTTTCGTCCAGCGCATGCGCCAGGAGTGAATAGCAACTGAATAGAGCGGTTGTCATTTGACAACCCCCCTTTTATTTACTAGAGGAAACGCAAAAGGTAACAAGATTACGTACCCCAAGGTGAGAAGGCACTGAACGAACTGTCAACCTACAAATACAACCTCAGTGTAACAACGTGCTCTTTCTGCTTACACAAGCAGAAAGAGAAAGAGCACGTTGTTGCACTGAGGTTGTATTCGTAGGTTGACGCTTCGTTCAGTGCCTTCTCCCCTTTTATTTACTGGGCATTTGTAGCCTACACTTCGTTTTGCAAGGTTCGACGTGACAGTACATACAGGCATCAGCAGTACAGGCTGAAATTTCAATGTGGCCGAGATGTGTTTTTGCCCTGGGGAGGCTGCAATTTAAAAGCGTTGGAAATTTGCATACTTTACAACACAGTACTGAGCATGCGGTGAGCTGATCACGAAATGAATTGGACGTACTAATAATGCTAAGGGATTCGGGGGCGCATCAAAGGGGTCAGCACCAAGGAATGGGATAGATTTGTGCCCAGTTCGGGTATGTATATTGGGTATAGAACGGAAATTATTGGCTAAGCCTCGGGCGACTCCTACCAGTATTGCCACCAATGGCCCATGGCTGCTGATCTCTGTGATAGAAATGAGACGTGTATGTGAAACCAAAATACGGCTTTTCAAGATGTACTGTAAGACATGTTATTATAACGAGTCGCACATTTAACGATTGTCCAAAATTCATAGGTTAACGAGAAGATATGTTAACAATCTTGCAGTATTCTGCCATATACACACACAGCATATATGAAGCAGTACGGCCTCAATGGATCTATTATAACGAAGAAATGTCATCCGTTAAAACGTTAGATTTGCTTCCTCGTTATATATACATGTCTTACAGTATGTGCATTTTGTGAAGATCTGATCTAAGGGACACCTTGTTGGGTCTTGCCAACATTCAATTATTATGATGTTCATATCTATGCATGAATTATAAGCAAGAATCAATAACCCCAAGAGTATGCAGCTTTGCACATGGAGTCTGCCACAACACGTTGACCAAAGTACATGAACCTAGACACGAGCTAGGGAATCAGCTGAGCTGCTGCGTCATTTATGATCTGCTATAGTTTCCAGTCTCCATGGAGATTTTTCTTGGAGACGTCGAATCTACAGTATTAGGTGTGGAACTATTGTACTAAACCGCAGGAGATAGAATCTATTCAGCTCGGACAACATTTCACTACGTACGGAAGGAAGTACGCCGATCAAAGCTTGCTACACTCCCGTTTAGTCAACTTAACGGCCCAAATAATGCTTGGGTCATGAACTCATCGCTGTTGGTCTTTCGAGGGTGCCTGACAATGGTTGTTAATGCACAGTACCAGCCGGGCCAAATGACAAGATCAGATACATAGATCTTCCTAGTTCAATTGCTGAAACGTGACTTGTGCAAACGTTACGTAGCAAAAGGAACTGTACTATGGCACTACACGCCATTCACAATAATCAAAAATGCCCACTGGACAAAACAGAATTTCATCAACGGAGCCCCGGGATTTTTTCTTCTGTACATAATATCAAGAGTACATAACCCCCCAGAGTGTGCAACGACTGATCCAGCTCTGTATACAGGTATAGGGTCTTGGTCGAGCGGAATCGGATCTTTGCGTCATAATACCGTACACATCTGAGGGGAACCCGGGGAGTCGCGGGTACTCTTGGATCAAAAACAATGGTGCCCTGCCTCGAGACCGGCCTTGAGCTGGTGTGGAGTGTACGCATGACATCAGAAGATCCGATTCCGCTCGACCAAGACCCTATGCAGAGCTGGATCGGCGTTGCACACTCTGGGGGGTTATGTACTCTTGATAATATGCATTATGGAGTCATAGCATAAATAATAATAAGGGAGACGGCACGGTAGACTTTCAGCCTAAATCATAACGAAGGCCAGCCGGGCAGCTCAAAAGAGAGCTCTATGCACTATTGGCAGAGTGGTATACATGAAAAGAGAGTGACCACCCAGTGCGTGAAGCTTTTTGTGTCACCCTAGAAAATTTCAAAAATTAATAATGTGGGTTCAACCCCGGGCTGCCAGTGACAGTTGCCCTTACTGCCTTAGGGGCAAGTGCGATACATACATGCTCGCATATAGCATCGCTTGACTGGCCCATGCTTGGGGCCAGTGGGTCAAGTCCGCGATCCCGAGTTGCATAAACCAAGGATCATGTAGAATCTCCATGGATCCAATCTGTGTACTGTAAGGTTGCGTTTGGTTGGGCATTTTCAGAATGTAAATGACAACCATTCTGGAATGGGAATCGGCAAGAATCACCTGACCAAACTAACGCGCCAGAATCAATTAGGAATCACTTGACATAACAATTCCATGATGTCGTTGTGGAACGGCGGCTGTCTTTTCTTTTACCCGACTCTAGTTTCCTTGAGAGAGTCATGGTACTTCTGAGTGCATGATTCGAGGCACTTGAACCTGTTGCTACATTGTTTGGCTTGTGGCAGCCATTATCATTTTTGATTCCGGAATGAGAATGCTCATTCCAGCATGTGAGGTGGAATGATCATTCTCCAAAAAGAATCATTCTCAACGATTCCCATTCTGGAATCATGTGGAATGTGACCAACCTAACGCACTTTTTTGACCAACCAAACGGGCGAGAATGATTCCGAGTGATTCCAAGTGATTCCCATTTGGGAATGTGACCAACCAAACGTAACCTAAAAGCAGACATTTTTGATGGTGTAATATTTTCGGAATTCTCCAAAATCGGTGGTTCGGTGGAGGGAAATTTTCGGTAATACCCGCTTTCCAGGTAAGGGTGCTAGCACTACTAAGTAGTACCGAAAAATTTCGGTGAATTTTTTCGGTAAAAATTGTCGGCACCGAAGTTACCAAAAATAAAACACCACTGAAAATTTCCGATTTTACAGTACATCATTTTGGGTATCATGATCTCGTGTTGTTTCCTTGGGTGCTACGACTCCCTGACATGCATTGATCCATGGCACGGTATGATTTGGGCGATTTCAGCCAATCAGTAGACGTTCTGAGAGGGGTATATTCAGCGATACACCCCGCTCAGTTCACATGGGTCGCGCCAAGAGTGAATATTGGAAGGAGTCTTGGGAAA